AAGTTACCATAATGGTTATGTATAGTAAATAATAGGGTTTCCTCAATATGGTAACTTAATTTAAGTTCCTTAACAGCAACCCAGATTTTCCCCCATAACTTCCCTCATTGACCTCCAGGACCACCTAAAAAAGTCCGTCAAAGGAACGGCACATGTTTTGAGGTTCAGCTCATTGCGCATACACCAGCTAAACCCTAAACCCTTAAACCCTGGACCCTAAAGCAGTGAGCCCACATGACACCTCCCGGCCCTTGATGTGCACGTCTTTGTTCCTCTTGTGGTTCTCCTGTCTCTAGGGTTTATAGGGCTGCGGGTTCCCAAAATTATGGGGATAATGGAAGAGAAAATGGAAACTACTGTTTGGGGTTTAGGGTTTTGGTGGGTTCCAAAAATTGGGGGGTACCTTTTTGGGGGTCCCCATGAAAAGGATTTTCGTGTTTTGGGCTCTACATTGAGGTCCCCTACTGGAAACTACCATGTAGCGGCGAAAAAATGGAATAGGGTTTGAGGCGGATGGCATCCTCTATGGGTACGTGAAGGGTGTGCGGGGATAATCTTTGTAATTATTGTTCTCAAGCCTCTTCCCCCTAGTGTTGAAGGCTTGAGGCAGACAACTCGAAATCCAAGGATACCTTTCTGTCTGCAGAACAGAAACAGGCACCAGAACGCAGAGAACTCTTGATACGTGTCAGCTTCGGAAAGAATTGAATCTCTAACGACAACTGCAGGCAAACACGGCGGCACGTCAGGACACCCAACAACTGTTAAAACTGCAAGCCCTGTGGGCTAAAGGCTGTAGGCCCCCACGACGCAGGACTTCAGGTACCCTCGCATGCATCCTCGTTTGTGCGTGGCAAAATGCAGAAAGAGCTTGAACGTAGATCTTTATTTGACCGAGCAAAGGCTGATGAATGTTCATAGCAAGTACCAACGCTTTGTTTCCCTTGTCAAGCAAGTGTTGCAGCCACTTTTGGCGGCGTTGGGCGCAGTATTGGGGCATGAATACCGAGGGGCATGAATACCAATGCCTCAAACATGAGCTAGTAACCAAACGGCTTTAAAAGACCCTTATCAGATTATCAGAAGCTTTTGAGTCCTTCTCAAGACAGAGAAAAGGCTCCTGCAAAGCTTTCTTCTTCGCAAGCTCTTTGCGCTTCTGCCGCCGCTGCTCCATTTCAAGCCATTTCAGATCCTCAGCTCAACTATGTTATGGTCTAGTAAAATTTATTGTCTACCTGTAGTATATTATGGTCTATGTAAAAAAATACAACCTACTGAACATATATTGTGGCCCATATGTACATAGAATATATTCTGGTCTACATATAGTACATTACATCATGTTTTGTATATCGTATTTCAGCCACATCCTGAAATCCTCAAACCTTAGTCTTCTTGGAACCTGTACACCTCTAAGTTCCCTCACACACCCCCAACATTTTCCATTCCTTGCGTCCAAAAAGGACACCTAGTTCTGGAAAGCTAAACCTTCACACTGTTCGTCCCTGTTTATTGTTATATACCCATCTGCAGCAGCGACGCCTTACTGCAACCAGGCAAGATGCACACCGTTTCTGTGCTTAGAGGTTCATGGTTACCTATGGTATTCTAAAGCAGATAACTAAACTGATTTCTCCTTGTACCTGCTGGGCGTTGTTAGACCCCGACTGGTTGCTGCGAACTACTTTTATTTTGGATCACCAAGACTATTGTAACTCTCTCCCTCTCTACTATGTCTTGCTTCTGTGTTCTCAGTCATACCCCTCAGCCCACCCCATCATACAATCCTGCTCCCTGTCGGGGCCCAAATTTATTGAGGTGCTCATTGAACATTCGTAGCTCAGGAATGTTGCCGAGCGCGTGGTGTGCTAACTATCAGACGGAGGGGCTTACTCTCCTCCCTTCAAGGTCCCCCCCCACTATATCAATTCTCCCGTCAAAAAAGTCTAACGTTTCTTATAGCAATCTTGAATGTAAGGAGGCCGGGAAGTGGGTGCCGGTTTAACATTATCAGGATCCTTCACCCTCAATCAACCAAATCTTCATCCATGAGCAGGGGCAGGGGTCCTAAGCCCTAAATCTCCAACATCTTAACCCTAAGCCCAAAACTCCTAAACTTCATCCCTCAACCCTAAATCTTTGCAATCTTAAATCCTAAAGCCCTGGATCAGGAGAGCCTGCCCTTCATTCTGACAGGCCGCTTCCACGGAGATGGCCTCCTTGTCATGAACGTTCATGGCAGGAAAGATGATATCCTGGAAGCTGAAAGGGTTATTCAGGGGGGTACATGGCACTTTCCAACACTTTGTTTTGGTGGGTGCTGTCCTTCTAAATTACGGATTATAGTATGCAGGGACACTACGCCCTGAACCCTACTCTAAACACTAACGGGGTAATACCACGGGTACCTTAATTCTTGGAAACTACCAAATAATGGCAGATAGGGTTTCCGGGGATTTCATGGGGAACCTCAAGGGTGTCCTCAATTTTTTCAGCATGGGATTGGATAAGGTACCGGCAACGACGGCACGCAGCAGGGGCTGCAGCTGGCTCCACCATGCTGGCTTACACTGCATATCGTGAGGAATATTATTACAGCTATTGAGAACTGCTACATCTACTGGCAAGTTGCGCTGATCTGTCTGTCCTGCTGTGCTGCTTGAAAACAATCCTATCAGCGCGCACGATGCTGCTCCATGAGTTGTGGCACAGGCGTAAGCATCAACAAACCGTGGCCAACGGGAGACCCGTCTTAAGGACCCTACACTCTAAACCGTGTAGTCAACAGAGGTTGAAGGCGACGAGTAGGGGGAGCCGGCTTTGCAGAAATATCCACGCGCTTAAGGCTTCAGGGTCTAAGGTTCAGGGTGCAAACTTTACCTCCTGATTTCTTCTTGAAGGAGCCTTCCTCCGGGACTGCGTCTGGCTCTAGTCATCCATTAGCTTCTGGGTTTCTATGGGTTAAGATGCTGGCCTTTCCAGTCCAATACGTTCGGTAGTACTCTGGAGGAGGGGAACTAAAGTATCACCCACGCCATCTGGGTGTCCTACACCCTTCGGCATCATCAAGGTAACCATAGACTTTCCTCCTTTGCATGCTAGACAGAAAAGAAATATGACAGTTTCCATAAATAGGGGGATCCCAATATAGAATACTATTACCCTCATTATGGGGACCCCCCCAAAAAAGCCACCTATAACTTTTGGAAGCTCCCATATGTCGAGAGCATGCGGTGTGGCCTCGTAGCCGCTGCTCCAGCCCAGCGCACGGACACTTTCAGTGAACCTAAGGCGAACGTTTGCAAAAATGCCACAACCCTAGGGCTCCATGTCTATAAATAGTACCTACATTGGGCCCCAAGGTCAATAAATATGACCTACATTGGGCTCTTTGGAGCCTTGGGGCAAGACCAAGCATGAATGTAGGCTGGACATATTAAAGACCCATTTTAGCCCTTAACCACGAAACATTGAGTTTATGGGCTAGTATGGTGTGTATTTGGGAGGTCCAGGTACGACCTCCTTCCGGCATTCACTTTATCAGTGCTCACCTGGGACCAAGGCAGGTAAATAATCGAAAGATACTTCGACCCTTCGGAGCATACAGAACAACGGACGACCTACATAAAAAAAAATACACGCATGTTCTTTCCACTCGCAGTTCTATATATATATATTGGACGCACTTGAAGCTACAAATCTCAGGCACAGTCGTGGGACTCTTGAAATTTGCAGCCGGGATTTTTGAAAACAGGGGGTCCCCCTGCGGGCCCTAGGGAAAGATAGTAGGGACTATAACGGGATGTGGCAAGGATCCGTAGAAAGCAATACTTGGCCTGGTAAATGCATTGTGAAAAATACCTACGCAAGCCCGGCAAGACCCTCAGAACCATGCCAGCCCCTGCACTTGATCTTACACTAGCTCTCCCTGAAATGTCATTTCCAGAAGCTCTTCCATGTATGGGACCTTCCTTCGTAAACCCAGACCAGCCAATGTGGAGTGCAGGGAACTGCTCCAGCGTTACAGCCCACACGTCTGGACCGCCCTGGAGGACCTCCGGCAGCAAATTTTCAACTTTTAAGTTTTTGTTCTGTTTAAATCATTTTGAGTGTTACACCACTTTTCTGGCTGCTTATCTTGCTGCTAGGTTTGGAGTCTTTTGGGGGTTGCTGCTACACTCTGTCAAACTCTTGGACTGAGCCATCTTTGCATCTCCGCCCGACTGGAGACTCCACTTCTTAGTGTACCTGGAGAAGTGAAACATTTCCACACCAACAATCGCAGCAGCTCTGTCTGCAAGTGCCTGAGGACCACTTCGCCTCTGCTCGATCTCCACCTGCCGAAACAAAGCACGGCTTAGGGTCCAGGGTCGGGCTTAGGAGTTGGGATTTAGGGCTTTGTGTTTGGAGCTTTGCATCTCTAAATACACACATATCATGCGCATATATGAATATGTGTATAAAGTCTGAGTGAAGGACTGGACTGTCCTTCTGGCACGGCAACTGCATAAACTCATAGACCTGTCAGCTCGACACTTTCTGGGTGCTGTTGTATGCTGCAGGAGCCCCCAAAGGAAGTGCAACAGAGCCGCCAATGTCCACCACAGCCTCACAAAGCCCTAAACCCTACACCTTGAGAAAAGAGCTTGGGCTTTGGGCTCCATACTCCCTGGCAGCATTGTCCAAAAGGATTCAGGGTTTGGGGAAATCCACAAGCACTAATGCCCAGATACTGTGGAGGTTATGCACCGTCTTCAGGGAGTTTCTCAAAATCATCCCTAAACCCTAGGGTTTAAGGGTTTCGGCTTTAGGTTTGGCTGGGCCAAGTATCCTTAGACGGATCTTGACGGTTTGCCGCCTGTACCCCCAGTAAATCCTACATTGTCCCTAAGGTGCCCTGTCTTGAGAAACCCTGAGCCCTAAAACACCAATCCCATGTTCCTATATAGTCCTTGATCAGATAATATGAACCTACACAACCCTATAGAATTCTATCAAACACTATATATCACCCTTAAAACCCACCTGACGCACTTGGCTAATTTACCGTATTCAACCCCGCGTCTTGTTGTTGCCTTCTTGCCCAGACGGCGCACCATGTCTGAGGGATCATCGAAGTTTAGGACGCAGAACGCCTCAGAGCAGTGACTTAAAGCATGGGTTGAAGCATTCAGATTTTGGGATCTTAAGGTGATTTTGAGGAAATTAGAGATCGGGACGCAAATGTCAGGTTCCACCCCTTAATCATAACCCCCCCCCCTACAATGCAAAGACAGGAAGGATAATGTTGATTAGGCGGGCGGGGGGGGGGGGTTGGGTTATTCTTACCGGGGAAGGAGGCTATATTGCAATCAACGAGAAGTCCCTTGAAGCCCTACAGATGCTAAGTGCCAACCGAAAGCACGCGGAAGCGCCGCCACTGCCCCGAGGCGTAGGCATCCATCTCCTCCCATCACAGGACCCTATATCCCCCGCATCTTACACATGCCAAGCCCTAAGTTACTAAGTAAGGCCTAAATAATACGAAGCTCCAAATTACCTCCATTCAGACTTGAAAATTAGGGCCAGACCCTTTCAAAGGGGGCTCGGTGGGGTTCTGCTGGCATGGGTACTAATGTCATTTAGGGTTTAGGGTTTAGGGGGGCAGAACCCCAAGGCATTTCAATCGATGTCAAGGACATACAGTGCCTAGACCAAATACTTCAGAACAAGCTCCCGTAGGCAAAGCTTTGGGCTTATGGATTTAGGGGTTTGGGGATTAGGGTTTAGGGTGCACCCGACAACCCCAAAGCTCCCATCCCCAAAGCCTGCCAATCCAAGACACTGGAATGTCAGAAGTCAACAAGAGCGCTGAGATCCTGTATGCCTGTTCAACAGGCATCCTGAAATCTCCAAATCCTTGACTCCCTAAGACCTCGAACCTAAGAGCTTGGCATGAGCTCTTCAACCTCAACCTTCGATTCCTGAAATTATCCATCAATCAAATCTCTATAGCCCTGACTCTGAAGTGCATATTGCCTACATTGGCCCTGAAGTCTACAACCCTAAGCCCCTAAACCCTAAACCCATGTGACCCCATTTTCCAAACTCCTGGTATCCTCCTTAATAAGGCCTATATTACTCCACTAGAAAATGCCCTATACAACCCCTTTAAAGGAGTTTTGACCAGCTCACATGAGGCGGCGTCAAAATTACTTGTTCCCTTGTTCCCCACCCTCGCAGTGGGGTTGTTAGACTTTGAAATCTATGTTGTCCCCGCCCTCCGCCCGGAGTCTGACTGCAGTGCCCAACCGCAGAGAATCCCTGCAGCGCCCAACCACAGAATGTCCCTGCAGTGCCCAACCGCAGAATGTCCCTGCAGTGCCCAACCACTAAGTGTCCCTGCAATGCCCAACCGCAGTGCCTCCGCAGTGCTCAACCGCAGAGTACCCCTGCAGTGCCCAACAGTGCCCAACCCTGCAATATTTCTGCAGTGCCCATGGCAACGTATCCCTGCAGTGCCCAAACCCACAGTATCTTTGCAGTGCTCAATGGCAAAGTTCCTTGTGGTGAACCCCACAGAAGCTAACTTTTGCTGACCTCGCCAATTACAACGCCCAACTGCT